AAATTTATGTTTTGTCAATAAGCCACAGCGGCGTCGGAGGCTGCAAGCCGCGCGAAGAACAACACGATTGCAATGGGCACCTGTCACTTCAACCGTGACACAATTAAGTTCCAGCTCTTGGGAAATCGCAGGTCCCGGCGGCGTCTGTTTATCATCCCCCCGCCCATGCCTAAAATGTTAAACCCTGCAAGGTCACCTTCTTGTCTGCTGCTCGTCCCTCGACCGAGCAAAGAGATCTGCCAAACGTTTGTGGAGCGGTGTATGTCGCCCCTCAGGATTAGTTTCAAAATTCGCCGTTGTGTAGGTCTGTGCTCGACTCAATCAAAGAAGTTAAGATGATCCATTTGGTTGTACACACAGCGAGGGGCCGATTCGAGTTAGCGCTCGTAAGGGAGCAGGAGGAAGACTGATAGGGCGAAGGCGAGTGGGGACCGGGGCCGAGGGCAGAAGTAACTCGCCCTCCTCTCCCGCGACCCTTAAAATCCAACCGGTTGGGGATGGAGAAATTGCTGGAAGAGGGAGACCTGTCGTCAAAGGTGAAACTAAGGCAAGCCGGTATATAGTTATTCTTCTCTCTTGTTGGTAGGGGATTTCATTCATCTATATTTTTGGAACTTGGAAAGATCTAGTCTGGAACTTTCTTCGGGGTCCTGTGAGAAGGAAAAAATTGAGTGTGAATAATTTCAAATCAGGGGAGCATGTTGACAGCACGTTTGAGGCCTCCTCTGTCTTAGCTGGTTTTTGCATGGAAACACAAAATGTAACCTGCAAGTGATGAGCTCTTGACCCAGGAAGCATCAGAATAAGAAGACAATATTTCCCTTCCTCTGTAGATATCCTTTGTGTCCGGTGATCCTGGTCCAAGATGCTTTCTAGCTTCTGCAAATGCCGATGAACACAGGGCACTTTGGATAAAGGCGCGTCTGTTTGTACAGAGTGGCAGGACGTTGTTCCAGGCCCGTCCAGCGGCTGATGTGGTAAAACTCGGACACTACAAATATCTGTCTAATGTGAGTTTATTCTATTGTGCGTTAAATAGGCTCATAGGCTAAAACTCAAAGGCACCTCCATAAAAATCGAAATATTTTTAACATTAACATCCCACTGGTTGAGTGACGTTCCTTAACCAAATGCAGCGTTTTTTTCCTTTCCATGGCGCATTTAATGAACAATGCATGCAGTCACCCAGTGCAAAAAAGCTGAAACTCTCGCTGCTGTTAAAGTCCACGATATTGCGCAAGGAGGTTTATCAGTCTAAAAGCCTTGGCATGGTGACGCCGGCACCATCTGCTCTGAGTTGGACAACGAGCATCATTACAATGGGACTTGTTCTCTCCAAAAGGATTGTGCTTCTAGTCTCTTAAAAGTATATGAATATGGTACAACTAATACGCTGAAAAATGAATATAACCACACACAGCTTTGGCTGAGACTAAGATGTGGGACTCAGTGTCATGAAAGCTCGTACATCGAAGCGAATATATTCTCTTCGTTGGCGTGGTTCTGGAGGCCCTGGTCCGGCCGTGAAGCCTGTGGGTGAGCTGAGAGGTGGAGTTAGACAAAGGACGTATCTTCCCTGAGCATTATCAGGAGTGCAAGGAGTTCACAGGTGCTGCACGGTACTGAGCTGGATGGGAGGAGGAAGAGGAGGAGGGGGGGGGGGGGGGGGGCGGAGGGTAGAGTTGGCAAGGCCTCATGGGAAAAATTGGATCTGCTTCCACTCAAGCTCTAACAAGCAGTGAGGAAACTTCGCCTCGGCGCATCTGCGACTGAATACACTCACTCAGAGGCATTCAAGACCAGCAATTTTCGAGCTGTGAGTCAGCTGTTATGAGCAAAATATCTGCAGGAAAGAAACACAAGTCCCGCTGCCTTATTTTTGTGCCAAGCATCAAAGGGTGCTTCACTGACCATCAATTTACTCATCCGCCACATTTGTTTGGATTATGATTTGTGAACAAGTCCACACAGAAAGCAAAAAGAATATTTTTAAGGTTGATATGAGCATAAAGTTGTATCTTAAAATGTGAAATTATGTAAATGTGAAAACTAAATTTTTCCAAACCTTTTTTTTTTATCTTTATGCTTAATGCTTGACATTTTCAAGTTAGAATGGAGTGCTTTTACACTGCTAGACTGAACTAAATCGCCTTGGTTGCCCAGATTCAACATTGAATGAGACAATGCCTATTGCAAACCATTGTGTGGTGAAGAAGATGAAAGATTATATATGTAGTTTTAACTTTCTTCTGCCTTTCAGGTTCAGGGACAATACAATTTGAGAAGAGAAGAATATTTCACATATCTGGAGTTCCAAAGTCACAGTCCCATTCCTGCATTTTCCTATCAATATTTTTAGCCCTAAGAAACAATAAAGTTGAGTAATGCCACAAAATGTAATCCGATGTGACCATAAAACCTCATAAATCTCAAACACCAACAGTAAAGAACATTTTGCAGAATGGCAAACCAATAGGTCAGCTTTGGTTCATATAAGGTATTCTGACACTTTTGGCCAATAAATCTATCAAGATAAAAAATAGTCTTGCTCTGGATACCCAAAGGCTGCAGTAAACATCCATTGCAAGGTCAGCAATTTCATAATGTTTGCAGCCACTCAAACCAGTAGTTGGCGGCTTCCAAAAGTCACCATCCACTTTGCACAAGCCAAACACAAAGCATGGAAAAACCACCTCCAAACAATGGGCAGTAAACAGCCAAAGTGGCTGAAGGAACAAAATCTCAAGAAGTACCAAAATCTGGCTGGTAGCTGGTGGTGATTTCTCATCCTGTCATAAAAAACTAGCTGAAGTGTCAGGTGAGATGCACAGGAGTTCTCCCATACCATACTTGCCCCCATCATCTCCGTTGGCGTTGATTTTCTTCCCCAAGATCTGGACATGTTTCCCTGTGGTTCTGCTGTAGAGCTGATAGATCCGGACCTGTTTCCTGCTCAGGTCGTCCGGGTTCCTCGTGTGGTTCTCAATGTAAAACCTGAAATCAGCAGAGCTCTGCTGGCACTCCTGCACGGATAGGGTGAGACAGGAGGAAACAGAGAAAGAGAAAGAGAGAGAGAGAGAGAGACAGCAGATGGAGAAACACAGAAAGAGGGAAAGACAGAAAGTGAGACATTGTCACGGCACAGGTGTTGATAGTAATGTGTGCTGTTGCTTTAATGGGCACTGTGTCAAGAAATTGTGCTTTAGGGGCTAAAAACTGAGATACCAACCGGGAAATTGCGGCTGTGGCATTTTAATGTTTCTTTTCTTGCTTTCAACTGGCACCTTTTATATGCATTGCATTTACAAGCTGATAACTATGCTACAAGATGTGTTAATGAAGTCACCGTTTGAGGAGAAATCCCACAGAACAAGTGCAAAGCTTATAGTGCAACCTTCTGTTGCTTTCTACTGAGACAGCAGTATACTATGTGCCCCCGGCGATGTTGAGAAACCTGTACTCCACTTCCACAAGCAAGCAAGCCACTAGCAATTATACACCTGAAGCATCCAGACCTGTTGCACTATCATCAAACAAATATCTGCCTGCAGGCGAAGTAGGGTCCATAAATTAGGAAACGCAGCAGGCGGAAGACAAGACCGAGAGAGAAAGATGGCAAGAGGCACCTTGAACCACAAAAACACTCTTGTAGGAGGACTTTTGGACCATATTGTCCAACTCCACCTTTCAGAATTCACTAGCCTGCTGTTTACGAGTCACCTTAGACCTGACATAAAAACAGAGGAAATCGTCGACTTCGACGGCGTGTCTGAAAAGCAACTGTGTCACCCAACATGTGGAAGAGTGAGAGGTAACGTATACTTTCAGAAGCCCTGGAATCTCAGTTCACACCAAGATTCCATTTCCCCAGCTGTATGGTGTGGTAATTGCACAGTAATGGCTTTTTATGTGGCTGTTCTCAGGTGGCTAATTATATACACATTACATACCCGAGTACTTGTTATTCTAACTTCAGTAAATTAATGACATGTAGCAAACATGATGGGAAATTGAGGCCTCAGAAGATCAAATCCTTAAACTCAGAGAAGAAAAATTCACAAATTCGGCAAATCTGTGAGCCAATCTTATCAAGGCTCTTATGAAGCGTGTGTCATACAAGATGTGCCTCAATTCAGGCGCCTAATTCTTCAAAAAACAAAAATGGATCCCTCAGGTTGGACCTACACCAAAGTGACGCTTCTAATGTCAAAAGGTTTTTCCCAAGAAAAAACCCTAAAACGCCCATCCGTTGCAAAATAAAGCAGTAGACAGCGTTTCTCAGCCACATTTGGATGAGTTTTTAAAATAGGAAGTACTCGTTGCCTCATTATGACGTATTCGGTCTAGCAATGTGGACCTCGGAGGATCCAGCCCCCGAACTGGGACACAGCTTCTGTATCTTGACATTTAGGAAACACGCCCAAAATGTTACTTTTGGCATGACCCAGTGTAGAAAATGAGAGCTGGATATGAAAATGAAACACTTACCGATGCAACAAATTTGCTGTGTTAATTTTGACTTCAAGGCATCAAAACCTAAAAACGGTGACGACTTTACTACATGCCTAATGGGAGTTTTACTGCGGAAATGGTTGGATAGCAAAATTAGCTATGGCTCTATTGGTTCATTTTCCCCCCCATAGTTTCCAGACACATTTTCTTAAAGTATGTATTCCAACATGCAACACAACCTGCATGAAACAACTGCACCGCCATGATGACCCCTCAGCCAGTTCCTTAATCCCATCAATTCAAACAGGACTAGCACATACGGGACACAACCAAGGGATGCACAGTTTCACTGAAGCACATTTATCACATCAGGGAACTGATCACTGAACGCAACACAATGCACATCTATGTTACCTCCTTCACAACTTATATTAATAAATGGATACAGACAAAATGTGTAAAACTACATTTACTGTATATTGAAATTAAAGGGATGTTGAAAAAGCCATGTCATTGGAGCTACAACAACAATGGAGTTTTTTTTTGCTCCCAACCAAGAATATTACTCATAGAAGCTTTCATGGGTGATGCTCTGAACATTCAGTGTCTAGTAGGTGTTTTCAAGGAAACTCGACTGAAGCGGCACAACAAAGAAAAAAGCGTCCACTCATCCAAGGAACAAGATGTCATAGCAGCATTCAAACTGCATGACTGGCAAATGATACGAATACAAAACACTAATACAAATTTGGAACCAAAGATGTTTCTAGATGCACAAATTTGTTGAAAATGAGCCATCCGTTTCAAAGTCAAACAGCATTATCTGTTGTCAACTCTCTCTAACAAATGAACCTCAGAACTGACGAGCCAGAAAAAAAAGCCAAACACACAACAAAACGTGGCCTAACTGGGCTGCTACGGGATTTATCCCAAATCTCCCCATCTCTAAACAAACATAAAGGTGTGTTTGGTAGACAGTTGCATTTTGCGTCAAGGGAAAGGCAAGCCTAAGCACATGGCTGAGGTGAACACTAGCGACAACAGTTTTTTTTTTTTATCACGCTGTCTCCTTTCTTCAAAGACACAGCATGAAAACGGATATGGTTGAAACTTCAAAAGTCTGGCGCTCATCTTTACCCAGGAAGCTTAGTTGTCGCATCCATCTAAGATACACCTTGCTATCTGCCTGACACACGCACAGACGGGGTCACACACACACAAATGGGGAAAGACGCACTCTCACATTTTGGCAGTGCATTCAAAGTTTACTTCCAAGTGTGGTTGCTTCTGTTGTTTTTCCTCATAAAATCACAACCACAGCATGACATGTAAGAGCCATTAGCTGCTCGTAGCAGCGCAGAGACGCAAAGTGGGCCAACAACATGGAGGGACGAAGTGACAGGAGGGCATTAAAGGGTTATTCCTGTATTTTCTTCAGTTTGATCATCAGCCTGAAAGCTCTCAAGAACCACAAGGCATTTCTTTTGTTTGATAAATGGCTTTATCTAATCTGACTTTACTAAACCACAACAAACATGCCAATCACATACTGAAACAGCAAAAAAAATCTTAAAATATCATCCATATCAGTCCACCTCATTCGTCTGTTGGCCCACATTCTGCGTCAACGTCATCCTGTGTTACATGTAAGGGATGGTCAGTCGACACTATAGCTTTGTTTGCACCAGCTCTGTTGGAATAATCAGAGCACATAGACTTATGTAACTGTTGCAGTTTTTAGTTTTGGGGGGTTTGGGGTTTGATACGTATTTTGTGTCTAGGAGATTTCATTAAAATACCCTGGGTCAGAACATTAACTCCTGCAGTTTAGACCTCTTATTTTGTCCTTGAGAGCTTATGGCTCCCCTACCGGGACACGCTGATCCTAGCAGCAGTAAATGAAAGAACAAGAATTGTGCAAACTAATAAAATGTATTTTATATCGTTTACAAACTCTCCCTCCTGCAGGGTTTATTTGTCCCAAAAGGTCACATGTTAACTCCACTTGGTATGATTCAGTTTTCTCTGACAAAACCATAAATATTCTTTTGTAATCTCTTAAAGATATAATTACATAAAATCATAATGTTGCCAGCTGTGTGAAAGCAAATGCATCCCAGAAGTTGAGAGATAAAACCTAAGCTGCTCTCTTTTTATTTTTACATCACTCTATCCTGTTTTAATATTTAAGATCAAAAACACAGAGAAATTAATTTAAAACAACAGCACGTGGAATATTATGATCAAACACGTCATACCAATAAAGTGATCAGATAGCTTTATGAGTGAAGGAGCGTGCTCTCTGCATCTTATCTGAATCACAGCGCGCAATTAGGTGAGTGGATGCCTGCAAATCATTACTGTTCAAAGTGAGACGCAACTAATAAAAAAAACTGAGGCAACAAGCGCCAAAGCAGCCCATCTGTTCATAGAACAACTTTTAACCCCGGGGATCAAAATATTTATTACACGATTTGTTGTTAAACACTGAAACTGCTACTTGAACTTCGGATTAAAAACAACAGGTTTTAATTAGATGTTGCTAGATTTATAGTATTGATTGGAGATATTAGTTGATTAGTCCAATTAATACGCTTCAGAATAGAGTTTCCCCAATGCCGCGTTCCCTGTTATATTGATGAATTAGTTCTGCATTAGTCAATTTATAGATACTATATTGCAGTAATAAATTTGTTATCTTCTTATCACGGGAATGCTGCTATAATGCAAGGAGCTGTAGTGTCTTTACAGTGGTCAACAGTTTGGTTACTTTTTAATGCATTTATGGTATTTTATTCATTGTATAGCATTATAATATTGTTATAATCTCGTCTCTTTCGTAATTTATTGTACTTTATTTTACCCTTTTTTTGCAAAAGGCTTTCCTTTCATTGGTTTATTTTTCGCGTAGCACATGCATTACTTTTCTAATTGTTTTTCCCCCTACATGGTACTTAATAATATAAATTAATTTTGATTGAATTAGTCAGTCAGTCCTGCGTTCAATATTGTGGAGACCACCCTCAAAATAACCTCTACCCATCATCAGCATTATTCACAATAAACAGCGGCACAGTGACATGCAAACACACACAAAAAGGAGATGAACGTGGGAGTAAACATACCTGTAAATGGAAATAGAGTACCAGAAAATGTAAACACCTACGTGGGGAGAGAGAGGGAGAGAGAAGAGAGGAGGGGAGTGAATCACAGGCAATTACATGAAGAATAAACGCAGCCTACCTGGATGAAAGCAATGCGCAAATATGAAGCTTTTGGCGACTTCTATTGGTAAGAATGCATGATTTGATGTGCAAAAAGACAAACGGAGATGTGGAACACTTACACGTATATGAACCTCGAAGGCAGCACAGACATCTTGACTTGCAGAAGTACACTTGAAATACACCTGCTTCCACAGATTTAGAGCCCCAGGAAAGGTTGGCGAAATCGCCCCCCTCTCTGTCGCTTTCGCTCCCCTGCGCGTCCTTTACGCACACAACTCCGGGGGTAAGTAGGAGATTGAATCCCAGTGTAAGGATAGATCACTGGAGAGCAGCAGCAGAGTCACAGGGTGCAACATTAGGTGCTTCCTTGTTGGGGGGGAATTATCCAGATTTTTTTTTTTCTCTCAGCTCAGTCTCCTCCGCTCCCCGAAATCCCGCAACGTCTCCGTAAACCGGTGCCAAGCGTGGAAATGATTCAGAAGTCAACCTCTCCAAAAAAAATCCCGTCGCTCAGAAAATTATCCTCCGAGTTTTGCGCACCTATAGCCAAGTTCCCCCACAATCCAAATCCTGCTGCTCCAGAGATCACAGGCTCCTCAACTCCGTCCGTACCTGCGGGGGATTTCTACACCTTGCATGGGTCATTTTATTCTACCAAGCGCTGCTGGAAAAGGGAAAAGCGGTGGATAATAACACGCCCTTCCAAGCTAAAAGTGGGCAAACAAACTTCTCCAGGCATATAAAAAAGTTATGTTTTTCAAAAAAAAGTAGTGTGAAAATCGCAGCGGCGGCAGCAGCAGCGGATCCCTGGAGAGGTTTGGGGGCTGATGATGGCGCAGCAGTGCCTGTCAGTGGTGTTTGTGCGTCTGCGGCTTGAGATTTGGGCACAGAGAGGCTTTTTTGTTGTTGGTGGGTGGAAACATGTCAGCGGTTTGCACCTGATAGGGTAATCTTGGAGAGACCATCAGCTTGGAGAGGGTTTTTTCCTCTCGGTGGGCAAAGCGCTGCGCAGAGGAGAACAAGAAGGAGATGAACTGCCTTTTGGTTTGTTTTTTTATTTTTGTTTTTTTTCCTACAGTAGCCTAAATCTGGGATTTAATTGGTATTCAGAGACAGACAGCATGATTTAAAAGATCTACGTCTATTTTTTTTGTTTGTTCATATGAGTTTGATTTGAGCAAGTTTTCATTCAACTTAACTTTTTTGTCAAACAATATATATATATATATATTTTATTACTTTAAGACCCATGTGATAGTGTAATAATAATAATAAATAACATTATCATTATTACACGGTTAAATAAACAGAGTGGCTGTGTTGTAACAGCCACAGAAACTGCTCCTCTCTCTAGGTTGTTGGTGCTTTTTAAACTGCTGCTGCTTTGTGGATTGGCCTCGGCTCTCCCAGACAGCATTCAAATGCAGGTTGTTGTCGAACTCGAATTTTTTCAATAATGTGCTATAACTTATCCCGCATTTAAATGAAAGAGAGGTGTGAATGTGTTTACGAGCTGGCAGCAGTAAAGTGAGCCCACATCCCTGCTGCCATTTAAAAAAAAAAAGAAAAAGAAAAAGGAAAACCTTTGTGGTTGGCCTTTATTGTCCCATTAAAACTGGATCCTCGACATTCCTGCGCCATTGATATTCAAAATGATTCTAAATGATTACATACATAACTTCCCATGTTGGGGATTTCAAAGGGCCTCCTGTGGTGAGTTTAGTGGGAAATGAAAAGGAGTGTTTGACTAAGAGCTCCAGCTGCTGATCAACATCAGGCAAAGAGACAGCAAAATAAACAAAAATCATTGATTTACCCGGGAAAAATATGATTTTTATTTACTTTATTTCAGAGTGTTTTTGATTTGAAGTTTCAGTCACAAAATCATTTATGTTGTGCAAGCACAAATGGATAGAGTGGGTTGATGTGGGTTTATCCTGTGATTCATGGCTGTCTGCCTAACAAGAAGGTTTGATCCTGTCGACCACAGTGCACTTTAATAATCCTTGTAACACAACTCATGTATAATGCCATTTAAAGCATTACTAATTTAGCTTTGTCTGCCTAAGGGAGGGAAATCACAGCAAAAGTGAGCAAATAGTAATTATCAAGAAAGATGATTGATGATTTCTTTACATATACAAGGCTTGGGGTTCTGTTTGATCAAATAAGGCTTACATTAGCTGTTGCTCACTGCCGATAAAGATTTCTCTGAGAGTCCAAAATAAAGGCACCTGACAACTGATTTAAAGAAGGCAGGATGATAAACAGCAATTACCACACTGACTGTGATAGAGCCAGCATTGTGCAGTCACTCATCGCCTCTTAAGCACATGTTTGTGACAAACTTCTCGGAGCATGACTGTAAATCCACAACTGAGGGAAGAGAGCGCAGCAGCAGGCCTGGATGTGGCCACCTGTGAGTCACAAGGAGGAGGAAACATTTCTCTGCTTGTGGCGAAAGGGAAGATCCCATTTTTTTCAAAGAGAACTTTTATCATTTTATCAGTCTTGGGGAAATAACGTGTAATGACTGTGAGTCAGATTTGATGGTTCTGCTATGCATTTCTCTGGACTACCGGTCAATTTGGCAGCTGCCCAATCAGGAGTCAGAAGGGCAGATTTATTCTAGAAATGTAAAGTAATATGTGGCACCAAAGAAAGCAGAGTGGACTAAAAAAATATCACTGCCCTACCTACACATCATTTGACCGACAAAAGGGATCTCGGACTTTATTGGCTTGCATTGTCATATTACCATGTTTATCCATATCTATCTCTTTTTAATTTTTAAGCAGTCAAAGTTTCTCCACCAACACTGAGAAAACAACCTGTGCAGCTGTTGTGGAGAATAAAGTGATAGTGGGTTAACTATAAGGTGACATGTATATGAACAAAATACCTAATCTGTAAGACGTGTTGCAGGAAGGGTTGGTTCTCACAACTTGCACAGAAAAATACATTTTCCAAAAAATCTAGTCATGTGCTCTAGCCTTCTAAACTGTTTTACTTGCCCAGGTTTTTTAACTACACATATCTGAAATGTCTGCCGACACCCCAGGTCAGTGAAAGTAGTTCCAGTTGTAGACGTCGTGTTCTGTGTTTTAAAATAAATTTTTTTGAAATGTAATTTTTTTCCAATACTCTGGGCGCCACAACAGAAATTCTGTTCACCTTGATTATAATGGTGTGGTGGAAAAAATGTCTAAACCTTAGCAACTTAAACACTCTGCATTGTGAGATACGGTTGGGTGGTTTGGAAGTTGTTGTTTTTTTTTTATTTGGGTGAACCGAACCTTTACAAGGAAGGAATTTAGATGCCGTCTACAAAATTACATTTCCACACCATCAGTCAAAAGAGCTGGTGCTCCTACAAATTGCCTGTTGACCCTATTTGAAAAAGGTCTGAAAAAAATTGATAAAACGGCAAGAATTAATCAAATGCGGTCTGCTGCTGGTAGAGCATAACAAGAGTGAGCTTTATGAATGGGGAGAGCTGTTTCACAGTCCAGTTTCTGAGGCTCAGAGAGAAGGTAGGGAGATGGGGGGGGGCAGCCACTCAAGAGTTGGGATAAGGTTACCCACAGAGATTAGCTGACAAGAGTGAGGGAGTGAGAAAAACAAGCAAGCAAGTTAAAGTTCTTAGTTTACCTGGCTTGCTGTGCTTGGCAGCTAATGAAAGTGCTTTCAAACCACAGATTCAAACGCTGCCTGAAACTATCCTCTGCAGCCAATTCTATCTCAGTATTGATGAAAATAAATTTTAAGTCAAGAGCTGCGAAGTGGCGAATGATGTTATTTACACGACTTGGTCCCAGACTCCTTTCAAGCCTTTGAATTTGAACCTTGCCGCGTCCGTGCAGCTATGCGTGTCTGTCCGCAGCGACGGGACTGTGGGAATGTCACCGAGGATATCTCATTGAAGCTAAAGGAGGAGGCATCTGAGGGCGGGCGAGCGCTCAGCGGTTCAAAGGGCCCTAGCAGGCATTTAGGGCTTGACAAAAGAACTTGGCAGATCAGTAAGTGAAGCCCAATGTACTACATTAGTGTCAGGACCCCCTCCGCGTCCCTCCCACTTTGCACTTTCATCTCTGACACGGACATATTGACTTAAAGGAAAGGAGGGGTGCCAGGGCCACGAAGGAGGGGTGGTGGTGTGTGTCGGGGGTGGCGGGGGGAGTGCTGTATGTGTCCCATTCAATTCTCAAGGTGAGGCGACTGAAGCAGAGGGGTGACCACTGACTCATATAAGCCACCCAGAAGCCTTTTTTTAAAAACTAGAAGTCACAGGCCGACAAGCGTGTGAGACCTAAACGGGACGGCCCTCTTCCTCTCATCTCACTGAAATCAGTCTCACCCCATTAGTATATGCTGACCCCCACCCCCCGCCTCTCCAAACACACACTCACATCCCTTTTCACACCGTCGCCCATGCCCTCCTGCTGGCTACTGAAGTCCAACGGCTAACGTGGGCTTGGGTCGCTACGGGGTCGCGACACCTTGACATTGCAGAGGGTGACAGAGAGAGGAGCCAGAGGAGGGAGGGTGCAGATCGCCGGCTACCTCGGAGACCTTTCAAGTATCACCTGAAGGAGAGGGAGGAGGGGGAAAAAAAGAAGCGGGAAGTGTTTTAGTAATTTGTCACACGTTGTTTGCATGGAGTCATTAAGGGCCATTTAGGTTTTGCCTTGAAGGGAAGAGGCCAGAGAATTTGGGTGCGGGCCCTCTTTGGGGGAGAGGCAGCCGGAGTGAAGGGTAAAAATTAAAGCGTCGCTCTTCAACAAATCATCCCTGAACACCGCGGTACATGCAGAACATATTAATGTTTCCACTGACTTCAGTCGCCTGTTTGACATTAATGATGATTTGGTCCATCTCATCCAGCAGGGAGTCTAGAGTTGTCCAAAAACATAAACAAAAGTACGGGCCCTCTTGTTGCTAACATGTGAAATAACTTTATGTGACTACATGCATTTTGCAGACATCACTAAACTATTCTTGCTTGGATGGATTCTTTGGCCATTGTCCAGTAAAGAGAAACTGCCAAAATGTGTCACAGCGCTACAATTGAATAACAATCAGCCGACAGACCCCATGTGTTCTACGTTTTTGGCCTGTGTTTGACAGATAAATGTCAAGTCCCTTGGACGA